TAAAAACATCCAACCATGACAAGACTATTCAGAGAAATAAATAAGTTGGAGCCTTTTAAGTAATCATTTTGGGAATTGGTGAAGTTCTACCCCACAGAATTTAGAAATACACGAAGTATCAAATTCACATTTGTCTCAATCATATGCAGTATGCTTAATGCAGGTCCTATATGAGATGCAAAAACATATGAAGTGTCCTACCACTAAAAGTTGCAAGTCTGGACACACAGACTGTTGCAACAGTTCATGCAACTGCATCAGATTAAACAACATAAATTCCCAGCGATTTTCGCAAGGAATCAAATCTGTGTGCATCAAGGGTTTTTGCAAAAGCATCAGTTAATTCATTCTCCGTTGCAGCATAATCAATTGAGACAACCCCCTTTTCAACCAAGCCCCTTATGAAAAGATGACAAATATCAGTAAGCTTGGTTCTCGAATGCTGAATTGGATTCATAAACTTATTTTTCGCATACAAATTATCACAATTCAGATTACCAAGTTTTTTATTCCCCAAACTAGCTTTGTCACCAGAACTGTTGGAACAGTTAGTACTATCATCACATGAGTTTAAAGAAGTAATGGCAGATAAACAATTAAGATCACACTTTTTTACCCAGATTTTTTGTTGAGTTTTATTCACTAAATCAACCTTTATCTTGGGTTTTTGAGACGACACAAAAGTGTGATCAATTTTAGCGGAAAGTGGTGAGCGGGCCATTATTCTTTTAACCATTTTCAAGTACTTAAAACACCTGGGTCGTATATGACCAGCAACATGACAAAAATGACAAATAGGCACAAAACGTTTTCTTTGAAATGACTGTTTTGGCGCAACTGTCGCAACAGTCTGTGAAACAGTGCATTGTTTAACAAAATTGATTTTTCCTATTGGATCTTCTTTCTGTTTCAAAGCATCATCAGATAGTTTATTACCCCTTACACCTAGATGACCATAGTTCGGCTGATTTGTTCTCAAAATTTCATTCAAATTTACCCTACCTGTATTTAATTTAGAAATAAAATCTTGGGTTTTAGCAAATTTAGCCTTCAAACTATCAGTTTCTCTACTAGCAGAAATAGCATTTTGTTCAAGAGCAGAAATTCTTACCTTCAACACTTTGTTTTCCTGAATTAGAACAAGCTTCTCTTTTTCTAAGAATTTATTCGACTCGCATACCTGAAGGAATTTTTCGTACATAGTTTCGTAGCTCGTCATTAATTCTTTCAAGGTTGCCTCGTCATCATCGCTGTTGTTTTCTGAATCCCCATCATCACCTGCAAGAATAAAGGAAGTTAAACCGCTGTCGTCTATTGAAGGCAAATTATCATACCTGAGTTCTGTTTGAACTGTCTGTCCAACTGTTACAACAGTTTCAGCGACAGTTTCTTTGCACTCGCTTATCGGAGTAGTTCCTTCGTAGGCCTCTTGTAGAACATCCCATGCCTCCTTTGCTGATTTGCACATTGATATCAATTTGAATTGTTCTTCATCGATACAACTCAAGATAGCATTGGTTGCCTTGGAATTATAATCTGCTTTCCGTACTTCTTCATCACTCCACTTCTCTTTTGGTGTTTGAATGATTTCGTGAGACTCATTCATTGAGGTAGGAGGTGTCCAACCAATTAGAATCGCGCGCCAAGCCCATTCATCAATAGATTTGATGAACATCTTCATCCTTATTTTCCAATCAGAGTAGTTCAATTCACCCAAGACAGGTGGTAGGAATGCGCCTTCACGATGATTATTCATATCTGCACAAAAAAAATAAAAAAAATTAAATCCCAAAATCTCACTAAGTGTATCTAGTGACAGGCTCTGATACCAATTGTTAGAATTTATTTCGTGCAGATATAAATTATTTGTGTCAGATTCAGTTTTTCGTTACTGTTGCGTGAAGTGTTGCAACAGTTCGTGAAGCAGTTCGTAAAAACAGTAATAAACGAGACACAAATTTTAATGTGGTTCGGATACAACTGTACCCTACATCCACGGGGACCTGCAAATAAAATTTACTAATTTTTAGTTTTACGAATACAATAATAGGACTTAATCAAAATACAAAGACTCCCTCTTTGTTGACGCCGTTCTTGTAAACTACGCTGAATTATAAATCTTTAATTTGCAGCACGTCCCTTGCTCCGCACGGTTGAACTCCCTTCAACGCTGAATCCCTCAGTCGGCGGATCGATCTCCTCCCGAGATCTATTTAAGCCCCTCTCCCGAAGAACCGATCTTCTTTTTGTATAGAAGAAGCAAACTTGTGATACTCCTTGAATCTTGGTGTCTTCACCACAAAGCCTTGAAGCCGATATATTTTCTATGAAAATCACGTATCACGATGGAACTATAAAAACGAGAGGAAAAAATATTTTCTCTTGAACTTCTCTCGATAAAAAGAATGCCCTAAACTACGTTCATGCTCCTTCTTTTATAGTATGGGAAAACTCCTGTATTAGGTTACACAGAGTTAGAGACGTAGAAGGAATTATCTTTTTAAAAGATATGGAATAAGAAGAGTCCATGCCTTATTAAAATATTGCCATCCTAATCTAATGGAAATTCACATGCAAACATACAACCAATTAATGACAATAAAATATAAAAGATAATTAAGAAAATCTTTTACTTCTTGAAAAATCATACGCACACACAATGACTATTGGATAGTTTTGATGCACATAAACTCTTTTTGATTAATAAAATAGTTTCCTATATAAAAGAAACAATTAATGACAAATTAAAGAATTTAAGTAAACAAGGAGACTTCCCTTTTGTGTTTCACGGTACACATGACTTGTTGCACAAGTCTTTACTCATCCCTTGTTTATTAGAATCCAATTAGATTCTAACACTGCTCTCTCTTAATCTCTTTCTCTTTTCTCTCGCTCTCATGCCTGCTCTCTCTTAATCTCTCTCTTTTCTCTCTCTCTCAATTATGGTGGGATGGCTATGAGGATCTTGATGTGGCGGGCGGTTTTTTTGGTTGCTAGCGGCGACGGCGGCGACGGTAGTTCTGGTAGTTGAGGGGCGGCGGTGCTTATGGTTGATGGTGATGGCAGTGATTTCCTCTGGCGGGAGTGGTGCTTTTTGGTATGAATTTGATTTATGTAGGGTTTGGGGGAGAGGAATGGCAAATTTAGGGGAAAATTAAGACGAAGAGGAAGAAGGAAAAACGTTCAAAAATTATGGGCAGATTCGTAGATCTGTTTTGATTACAGATCTGTTTTGATTACGGTTGTCTACAGGGCTGGGGGAGTGCTCGGCGTTGGGGGGACGGGTGGGGTTTGTGGCATTTTTAGCGGCGCGGTGATGGTGGCGTCGCAGATCTAGGGTTTGGTGGAGGAGATCTACGGTTTGGTGGGGCGGATCTAAGATTTCTCGAATTTATGTCTATAGATGTCTATGAGTATCTATGGGTATCTATGGTGTTTGGCGGCAATTAGGGTTTTAAGAATACGTGACTACGGATTACTACAGTTTTCTACGAGTGTCTATACATGACTACGGACTACTACGGTTTCCTATGGATTTCTATAGAAGACCATGGCCGAAAAAAAAATTAAAAAAATCATAATTTTCAATATTATCTAGAAAAAAAGAAAAAAAATACGAAAATGCAAAAAAAAAAAAAATTGTTCTACGAAAAAAAATAATAACAAAAATGCTAGATGCGAAAACAAAAATGTTTAATGCATAATGAAAAAATGATAAATACAGTTTAAATATTATTTGGTGCATATTTTATTTTTTATATGTGGGGGCATTTTTGGAATGAAATTTATAAAGGATGTGAAGCAAATGTTTAATTAGACTTGTCATTTAGTTCTAATAAGTTTTGTCACCAGGGACCTATATCTTAAAGCCCCTTACTTTTATTCTCCAACTATACTCTTTCAAAAAAATATTTGCCGAAAATAAAACGAGAATAACTCTCAAAACATATCCAAATATTGCCTAGACCATGACTAGAAGAAGGCAATCCGACATCAACAATTAATAAATAATTAATAAAAACATAATATACAATATAATTTAAAAAAAAAAATAATAAACAATTAACTAACCAACTAACTATACAGCTATTAAATCCTTATAACGTTCAACTTGATCCTCTCGTACACTGGAGAATTTGAGAACAATAAGTATAAATAAACATTCAAACCTATATATAATCCTTATAACGTTCTATCATTACATAGCAAAATAAGTGTGTAGTAAGAAAGACATAAAACAATGGCACTATATGACATTCTTCATATGAATGGAGGAGGTGGTGGCAGTGCACTAGCTACACCACCAATTCATTCCCTCAAGTCTCTCTCTCTCTCTCTCTCTCTCTCTCTCTCTCTCTCTCTCTCTCTCTCTCTCTCTCTCTCTCTCTCTCTCTCTCTCTCTCTCTCTCTCTCTCTCTCTCTCTCTCTCTCTCTCTCTCTCTCTCTCTCTCTCTCTCTCTCTCTCTCTCTCTCTCTCTCTCTCTCTCTCTCTCTCTCTCTCTCTCTCTCTCTCTCTTATATATATATATATATGCATTTGCTATATATATTATCTCAAGAGTAGTAGGTACATACTAATATGTAGAGGGGAAAATATAATTTTTATCCCTCAAGTTTGCACTAATTTCATATTTGGTCCTCCATGTTCATAAAAAAAATATTTGGTACCTCATGTTTAAATAATTTAACACTTTTAGTCATTTCCGTCAATTTACCGTTAGTCCGTCAGCTAAGACAGTGATGGGCACACGCTTGATTTCATTAGTTTTAACGAAAATATGACGAAAAAAAATGTTGAATTTTTTAAATATGAGGGAGGGACTAAATTTGTTTTGGTTGAACATGGAGAACCAAATGTGAAATCAGTGCAAATTTGAGGGATGAAAACTGTATATTTTCCAATATGTAGATACATATACATGTGTTATTTAATGTTGCAGAAAACTGGGATATCAAAATCAAAGCATGTTTTGGATGAGGCAATAAAAGATACGATCACGGATAATGATGGCTTCCGAAAATGCTTCAAGATCGCCGATTTGGGATGTTCATCGGGGACTAACTCCCTTTTCGTAATTTCACATATAATCGAACAAATCGAAGAGATCTGCAAAGAGAAAAATGGCAGCAGCCATTCACCTAATGAGTATCAAGTGTTTCTGAATGACCTCCATGGAAATGAGTTCAATACCCTCTTCAACCTTCTGCCCAATTTTTATGATACACTTAATAATGATAATAATCAAAGTAAAAAATTATGTTTTATATCCGTTTTACCGGGATCATTCTACGGCAGATTGTTCCCAAGCAATAGCCTCGATTTCGTTCATTCATCCTACAGTCTCACTTGGCTTTCTCAGGCAATTTTTTAAAATATTGATAACATTGATTAGATATATGTTATTTAATGTTTCTTACATCTTTCTTGTATTACAAATGGTAGGTTACGAATTTCTTCTTTTATGAAAAAATAGCAAAAAAATTGCAATAATGATTATAGTCATTTTTTTTCTCCGACGATACCCGCATTAGTACCCTTAATTTTTGGACTAGTTATATATTATTTCTTATAACACACATGTTAATTTAATCTAAGGGATCGAAAAGCAAAATTGGAATTACGCAATTATAACGTTGTGATTATGCATTATATTCGATCGGAATATAATTTTGGACTTTTTTTTTCTTCTTTTTTTTTTCATTTTTGTTATTTATATGGGGCAACTTTAATCATAAATCCCCAAAACTTATCCACAAGGCGAAGGTCAACCAAGGCCGGGGCAGTTGGGGCCCCCCCATTGAAAACCATGGTGGAATGAGGCGGCTCCAGCCAAAAAACTTAAAGCCGTTAGTGGGGAAATAAGGGGAAAAATTTTTATGATCCCCCCGCATCTGTGAAACCCTGTTTGGGTTTTGAAAAATT